ACCTATCTGCCAAAATTATCTTGTCGATAGCTTCCTTTCGCCCATCAAGAACTTCTACAATTTTGATATCAATCATCTGACACTTCTCTCTTTTTCAGTTCAAATCAAAATCTCTGTATGCTGAAAGCACAGCCATTAGTCCATGAATTGTTGGATGGGCTCGTAAACCCATCCAATTATTACCGACAATATCCTCTGGACACACATCTCTTGGCACGAAGCAGTTCTCAATGTTATAAAGGATGGCAACAGGACCTTGTATTGACAGAAAGTTAAAAGAAATAGTTATTAGAATAATCATGTAATCCTAGCAGATAAAAAAGAATCCCCACTTTCCCGAAAATAACATTGAAAAATTAAGAATAAAAAGTAAAAAGAAACCCAAAAAGTAAAACCTAAACCCCAATTATCATTAACAAATTAAGAATAAAAAATAAAATGAAACTCAGAAAATAAAACCCTGAACTGCAATTATTACCATTTTCGAGCACAAATGAAATTCAGTGTGCTCTGAAAACTAAAAAAACTCAACTAAAATCACAATTTTCTAAAGAAAACTATCAAACAGCATATAAAAACAAATTTGTTTCCATTAAATCATACAAAGAATATACAAGTTTCCAAAATATGGTAAATTATATTTTAATCTCTAAAATCTATAAAACTACACCAATATTAAATTTTCTTAAAGTAAGCTAACAAAACTAAAACAAATACACTGCCTTTTCAATCGCACAAAGAATATCCCAAACACGTCCAAAATTACAGTAAATACAATTTTTACACTTCAAATCAGAGGTAGAGCCTTGGGCAAAATTTTTGAAAATCTTGTAATATCTCTTGCAAAATCTTGGAGATCCTCCCATTCTTCCAGTTACTGACAACACGGCAAGAAAAAAAAGAAGAGAGAGAGAGAGAGAGAGACAGTGTTTCCTTTTATATAGAGAGAGAAATATAGTGTACGTTTGCATCCTTTAAAATTTTAAATTATTTGCTACAGTATCATTCTTCACCACATATTTACAAAATAAAATATTTTACGCAAAAATAAAGTTTCTTTACTTTTTCACCACACATTCTCAGAAAAGTAACAATTAAAACTGTTTAATTTTTCAAATAATGGGGGACAAACATGGGCATAGTGAGTTCCTGTCCTTCTTCTTTGCCAATTCGATGCTTCGCGGAGGTGACAAGTTTCCTGAAACTCTCCCTCTCTCTTTCATAGCTTCTTTATTTATTTTTTCAAATTTTGAAAATCTTGGTGGGCTATTTTTTATGCGACTAAACGAATAGCCTGAAATATTATAGATAGGGTCCCCAACCTGTTCGAATGGTATCAACTTGGTCCTAAAACATTCATTTTTTAACATTGAAGTTCCTAATTGACAATTTTATTATACGCTTTCTTTTATTATAAAACTCAATTTCTATACCTTTTTAGTTTAGAGAAAAATTATCGATAAAATATCTATATTAAAATTAAGAATTAACTTTAATCATAGACCACACGAATTTTATAAAAATTTCAATCACGTAAGGAATCCTCATTTCCCCTACGCCCCCTCTTATAAAATTCGGATAGAATATATTTTTTTTGTCAAACAGGTAAACATAAAGGTATTGTACCAAATCAAGAAAAACATGAAAAAATATACAATGTAAACAAAGATTCGAAAAATCTATAGTGCATACGAAGCATTTTTTATTCCTTAGGATTCGCTTGTAAAAAACTCTATTGAGACACAACTCACATCTCATGATATTAGAAAGATAGATGATGGTTGGCGATTGCACAAAGCAAAAAGGAACATATCTACCTAAATTGTCTTGTCGATAGTAGCCTTTCGCCCATCGAAAACGTCTACAATTCCAATATGGATCTTCTACCATCCCTCTCTTATTCGCTTCGAAGTTACACCAAAATCTCTGTATGCTGAAAGCACGGTCACTGGTCCATGAATTGTAGGATGAGCTCGTAAATCCATCCGAATATTACCAACAAAATCCTGTGGACGTACATCATTCAGCACAAGGCAGTTCTCGATGTCCCAAAGGATGGCAACATGACCTGTATTGACAGAAATTTAAAAGAAACAGCCATTAAAATAATCATGCTGTCCTAGTAGATAAAAGAGAATCCTCACTTCCCCTTCGTGTAATCCCAACTGATAAAAAGGAATCCTCACTTACTCTATACCCCCTTTCATAAAATTCAGATACAATATATATTTTCCAGTCAAACGTATAAACATAAAAGTATTGTACCAAATCAAGAAAAACATGAAAATATATGTAGTATATTTTTTCATGTTTTTCTTGATTTGGTACAATACTTTTAAGTTTATATGTTTGACGAAAAATATATATTGTATCTGAATTTTATGAAGGGGGTGTAGGGAAAGTGAGGATTCCTTTTTATCTACTGGGATTACATGAAGGGGAAGTGAGGATTCTTTTTTATATGCTAGAATTGCAAGATTATTTTAATGACTATTTCTTTTAAATTTCTGTCAATACAGGGTCTGTTGCCATCCTTTGGGACAATGAGAACTGCCTCTTGTCAATAGATATGCATCCAGAGGATATTGTTGGTAATAATAGGATGGATTTATCATCCTAGATGCAATTTCAAGACGAATAAGAGAGGTGTTAGAAGATCGATATCAAAATTGTAGATGTTTATGACGGGCGAAAGGATGCTATCGACAATATAATTTTGGTAGATATACTCCTTTTTGGTTTGTACAATCGCCAGCCATCATCTATCTTCCAATCTCGTGAGACATGAGCTGTGTTTGAATAGTGTTTTTTGCGAGTGAATACTAAGGAATAAAAAATGCTTTGTATGCAATATAGATTTTCCGAATGTCTGTTTACGTTGTATATTTTTTCATGTTTTTCTTGATTTGGTACAATACTTTTATGTTTATCTGTTTGGAAGAAAATATATATTGTATCCTAATTTTATTAGAGGGAGCGTAGGCGAAATGAGGATTCCTTCTGTGATTGAATTTTTTATAAAAGTTGTGTGGTATGTGATTAAAGTTAATTCTTAATTTTAATATAGATTTTTTTATTAATAATTTTTAGCTAAACTCAGAAGGTCTAGAAATTGAGTTTTTTTTTTTTTAATAAAAGAAAGGGTATAATAAAATTGTCAATTAGGAACTTCAATGTTAAAAAGGAATGTTTTAGGACCAAGTTGATACCATTAGAACAGGTTGGGAACCCTATCTATAATATTTCGGGCTATTCGTTTAGTCGCTTAAAAAATAGACCACCATAAATTGTTTACGTTGTATATTATATACAACATAAACAAACATTCGGAAAATCTAAATTGCATATAAAGTATTTTTTATTCCTTAGTATTCAATCCCAAAAAACTCGATTCAGAAACAGCTCATGTCTCACGAGATTAACAAGATAGATTATGGCTGGCGATTGTCCAAAGCAAAAAGGAACGTGTCTACCAAAATTATGTTGTCCGTGGCGTCCTTTCGCCCATCGAGAACTTTTACAATTTTGATATCGATCATTTGACACCCCTCTTATTCAGTTCAAAATTGCATTAAAATCTCTGTATACTGAACCAGGCAACTGGTCCACGAATTGTAGGATGGGCTCGTAAACCCATCATTAGATCACCAACAATATCCTCTGAAGCAGTTTTCAATGTCCCAAAGGATGGTAACAAGACCTTGTATTGACAGAATGTTAAAAGAAATTGTCATTAAAATAATCATGTAATCCTAACAGATCAAAAAGGATCCTCACTTCCGATAAAATAGCAGTAAAAATTTGAGAATAAAAAATAAAAAGAAACCCAGAAAATAAAACCTAAACCCCAATTAGCATTAACAATTTGAGAATAAAAAATAAAATGAAACCCAGAAAATAAATTTGTTTTTGTTAAATCACACATAGAATATACATGTTCCCAAAATATGGTAAATTATATTTTAATCTCTAAAACCTATAAGATTACGCCAATATTAAAATTTTTAAAGCAAGCTAACCAAACTAAAACAAATACATTGTCTTTTAAATCACGCGAAGAATATCCCAAACACGTTCAAAATTACAGTAAATTCAATTTTTGCACTTCAAATCAGGGGTGGAGCTTGGGGCAAATTTTTTTTTTTTTTTTTAAATCTTGTAACATCTCTTACAAAATCTTGGAGATCCGCTCATTCTTCAAGCCACTAACAACACGGCAAAACAGAGAAGAAAAAGAAAAGGAAAAAAGAAAGAAAAACAGCATTACCATTTATATAGAGGGAGAAATATAGTGCATGTTTGTATCCTTTAAAAATTTTAAATTATTTGCTATAGTATCATTCTTTATCACATATTCACATAATAAAATATTTTACATGTATATCAATAAAGTTTCTTTACTTTTTAACCATACATTCTCAAAAAAAAAAAAAATCAAAACTCTTTAATTTTTCACATAATGGGGGACAAACAGGGGCATAGTGAGTTCGTGTCCTTCTTTGCCACTCTGATGCTTCACGAAGGTGATAAGTTTCTCGAAAATCTCTCTCTCTCTCTCTCTCTCTCTCTCTCTCTCTTTCATATCTTGTTTATTTATTTTTTCAAATTTTGAAAATTTTGGTGGGCTATTTTTTATGCGACTAAACGAATAGCCCGAAATATTACAAATAAGGTCCTCAACCTGTTCGAATGGTATCAACTTGGTCCTAAAACATTCATTTTTTAATATTGAAGTTCCT